CCTCCATCTGAATCATCTAGTTTTGGCCAGAGGTACAGGAAGAAAAACAAAACTGATGGATATTGGACCATACCCAACACTAGAATTCATACCTTTCTAATCCTTGTGGCAGGCTCCCTGTCAAATAGCCTTTTGTAATTACAGGTAGAATTAGAAGACACTTAAAATCTTTTTTAAAGGATTTGATGAAAAAGATCCCAAGAACCATGATAGGATAATACCATTTGTGAATACAGAATGCACACTTCTGTGAAAGAATAGAAATACTGTAGTACAGTTAAATTTAGAAGTTCAGTGTGCTATTTCTAGGGTTTTTTTTTTTTACATTGATGCCAAGAAAAAGCTACTACTTATTAAATTTAATTATATTAACAATTTGAATTGTTGATAATGGTTGCCATTCTTCAAGTCATGCAGCGCAGCAAATATCATTTTCTGATGTTAAAAAAAATGCATAACATGTATGTGCTGAAAATCACTTTCTTTCACCAAAGCAGTTACCCTTTCTAAGCAATAAATGATTTAGAACATATGTTCTAACATATGTTCTTTCTGGCAAAATTGTTCCAGCAGCAATGCTGCAAAAGCAGCAAATGAAGAAACACCTAAAAATAAGACAAGAAAACCAATATGGAAAAGATGAATGATTCTCAGGGTTTTTAAGGTCAGATGAACTATTATAATAATGTAGTCTGATTGCCTGTATAAAACAGACCGTAGAATCTCACATGGTAATTTCTGAATCAAACCCACAGCTTCATTTGAAACTACAAAATATCTTCAGAATGGCATCTTGGTTTAGTATGTTTGCTTCCCATAAGTAAAAATATACTATGTGACCAGAGACCTTTATGCAAACAGTTGTACTTTACTATTAGCGCGAACATGCCTGCCTTCACTTCATATTTAAAATCTTAACGTTTTCCTCTGAGGATAGAAGACCAGCCACTACTCAAACTCTTTACCTTTGGACTTCATTTTGGATAAAATGAATGGATAAAGATGTTAAAAATGGATACTTTTGTTATGGATAATATTTTTAATTACAATATTATTTTAAAATATTAATATTGCTATAAAGCATGTTTTTGAAATCTTAAATTATTCTTCTGACTGTGCATAGTTTTTGGAGTTTTCCAGCATCTCGTTTCAAATGCAGTTGCCATAGCTACGCAAAGAACTATGCTTGTCGGGTACAGATAGCAGGTTACTTCCCTGTTCCTACCTGGAAATGGTCTGCTGCTAGGTTTCTGCTTCTGTAGCCCAAGGTTCTATAGGCCATATGTTCTCTTAGGAGCTCAGGATCTGTTGCTTATACATCATTATTCTGAAGTATCATCCAGAACCTCAGCATTTTGGGTTGAATTTATTTTTATTTGTAAATCTTCCTGAAAGTTTAATAATAGTTTCATTTGTTCTTCTACTGTTTTAAGTTGCAGTAGTCAGATTTTTAGATGACCGCCTGCAGAGTTATGCTGATGGAAGTTGCTTGGTTATAGAACTTGAACATTATGATTTATGGATATATATGTGCGGGTAGGCACATATATGTAGGTTTCCAGAGCGTATGTTTCTTACTTAATAGGATATATTAAACAATGAGTGTATTGGTATCACTCCTTCTTGTGCCTAACTCATTCATGTTCTCTTGCGCAAACAGTCTTTCTAGTCTGGTTATATTCTCTAATCTTTCTTTCAAACACACCCTCCAAACTGAACTTTTCATCAGTAGGGTTGACAGAGTATGCACATAATCATCTTATGTCTTTGGGAAGGTAATGGAATTCAAATACAGTTCACAACTCAAGTTTAAGTTCCAAGTTTAATCTTGTCTGATTGAATTCCAAACTTCTTAACATAAAAGGTCTTTGGCCAGAACATTTCTAAGGATCACCAACCATTACACAGAAAAATACATAATTTCTATTTCTACTCCTACTGTAATTGCTCCTTGTTTTCCAAAGGTTAGTCCTATAAAAAGTGTACCTTAGGGAACAGATGCTATAAAAATACAATACTGCCCAGCAGAACTACTTATTTTCTGAATAGGAATTTCAAAGTGAGCTGGGTTGTCAAGATTATCAGTCCTGGTGAATGTAAGCTTTAGAAATTTTAAAGATGCATAATAAATCATTATTTCATTTCATTATAGGGGGCATTCCCCCGTGAAGAACTGGACTCCATTTGAGTGCACCGAGTAAGAAATGCATGACCAGCCATCATGCTTAAGTTCTGCGGATGAACTGCACATTGAGTAGCCTTCCAGGAATAGATCTATGGCTACATGGGCTGTTGCAAAATACAGCTTCAGAAGTAGGACAGGATTCGGTATTCCCGTACAGATCTGTGTGGATCCAGAGATCATACTCCCTTGCACTGCTGGAAAATGTAATTTCTTCTGATAGTGATTGTATTTTATAATGGGACTCCCTAGTGTTGCTAGTGGCTCGTAAATGGTCTTTTCAGGTTTATCCACACACATCCTTTTGTCTTGCAGCTTAATTTTTTTGAGAATCTCATTCATGAGGACTCTAAAATCAATCTTAATTTTCAGGAAAGACTGAATCTTTATTGGTCCAACTGCAGTCATCACTTGGGCAAAAAATTCTGCAATGTGCAGGTTATAGTCAAACAATCAGTTCTCAGTACATAGAGCAGACTACATACTTTCCCAGAATCTGCCTATTATTTGTACTTCAGTCATTAATGAGAAAATGAAATGAGTGGACTCTTTTTAATCATTTGTATTACTATCATATTAGCAGTATGTATTACTTAGTTGACATTAGAATGGGAGTCTGCTCATTGAGCAGTAGTAGAAGTTTTTTCTCATAACTTTCGCTGGCTGACATAGAGAATGCTTTTACAGATAATATAGGCAACAAATTATAATACATCTATTTGCTAAAGAGTGCAGTGCTGTTTTCCAAGAATTAAATGGTGTTGTCATTGAATTCAATAGCCAAATTCCCATTTGATTTCACTGGAGTTAGGATTTAATTCCATTTCTTTCAGTTCTTAAATTCTAAGCAGTTCTGTTTTTCTTCTGATAGCAGGCTGACCATTGCTGATGATTTCCAGGTTAAATGCAGTCTATCCTGTATTCCCCTCAATCTTTGTGACACCTCAGTGAGCTTTATATGAAAGAAGTGTACAGTGATAGTCTGTGATGGAGCCTTTTACTTACCCCTACACCTTAACTAAAATCCAGACAAGATTACCATGAGTTACTGGAATTTAAATCTTTGATGGTTGGAGTTTGTGTTTCAAATATTTGTCATTCTCATGAGGCTATACCTTGATGAGATCACTGACTTCTGCTATCGGTCATTGGGATCTGTGTTTTAAGTTAAAAATTCAGCACTCTCTGATTTGGCAAGGACCTTGGACATAATTAAACAGAGACCATTGTAAAGTTGCTTGTCTTAGTGTGTTGGATGAAAGATCACTGAAACTTTTTTCTAATGGACAGAATTTTCTTTTTATAAGGTACATATTTTACTAAAAGTACTATCTTTGTGGCTTGATGGACACAGGGGAAGCTCAAAGGTTCAAAGAAAGCTCTGAAGATTATTTTCTAATGAAAATTAAGGAAAATTAAAATACACAGTCCTTAACGAGTATTTAAGATCTTTTAATCTCCTTTTATTGTTAGGCATTTTTGTTGTGTATACTTACGTACTTGCTTAACTTTATTTAAAGTGAACAGCCCAGTTGAAATTAACTGCCAATGTGCATAAATAACTGTGTGCAAAAGTCTTTCCCAGACTGATACCTGAATGAACTTTATCAAAGATAGGGAGCAGAACATTTATTTCTATTTGAGCTACTTTTACTTTAAAAGCCTTGTGTCTTAGTGCAAAGAAAACTTAATATGAGGTCTCACTGAGAAGACCATTTTCTCCCTTTCCAAACATGTCACAGCTCTTATTTTTATTCTCCAGGGTGAAAGTGTCAAATTCTAGAAGGCATCGAGTGTCCTGTTTGTAGCTTGGTTGTGAGACCAATTGCACAGCAATGAAAGTGTGCAGAAAACAGTGTATGACCCACATACCAGTATTGGAGTGTGTTTTCAGTAGGAAAAAAAGGAGAATAGGACAGAATAGCAGGGAGAGCAGCCGTAACCCCGCTTTCACGTGACGGAGTCTGAGTGGAAGCTTTGCATTTTCTTCTTTTTTTTTTCCCTTCTTAAGGTTTCCATAAGGATATGAAATCTGGCTTAGAGCAACCATCTGTTTCTCATTTGTTCCTAGAGAATTTCAGTTACTTGTTGTTCCCAGTTTGTGTTGCCTCATAAGGTCAAAAAATCTTTCTCTTTATTGGTTGGACCTTGATGAGTTAACTATTTACAGGAATTTGGCAAGGAGTTTATCTTCATGTAGTTGGTATGCAATATTCAGTGTACTCAGTCTTGCTTGAATAGGTTGTATTATCTCATGTTATTCCTCTGAAAATAAATGGTGGTTTACCAATTAGTCTTCTGTAGGTAGTACTATTTTGCACTAAGCATTCCAGCAGGAAATCTGTGACACTCGCTGGCATGGATTTTGATCAATGTGGAGTGAACAGATGTGTGGCTGCTGTGATCTGTAGTTCATGAATTGCCATGAAGTAACTTAGGAAGAAGCAAATCAGTTCCCAGTCCTTGTTTGCTTAATCAGTCTGCTCTTTTGATTGCTTGCTTGTTTGTTTGTAAATCTCTTTCACTTGTTACGGATTTTACTGGATACATTATCAATGCACAGATCAGTTTTGGGTCCAGGTGCCTTTCACTACTTGCATCGGTTGGAAAGAAAAAATTGAAAGATACGATAACCTTGTGAAAATCATTACCTTCCATGGAAGGTGCCATGCTACTTCTGTAAGCAGTAACATAACTTAGATTTCCAGGTCCTCTTGGGATTTTCTTAATATAGGCATCTACTGGATTAAAAATTTATTCCTTCTATAGTTACTAGTACACTGTCTGGTATAATATAGTGATCTTTCCTTTTTTCCAGATTACAGAACCGGCCCATGTTTCACACAAGTTAACAACCAGATGTGTCAAGGCCAGCTAACTGGAATCGTTTGCACAAAAACCCTCTGTTGTGCGACCATTGGGCGTGCATGGGGTCACCCCTGTGAAATGTGCCCTGCTCAGCCTCAGCCGTGCCGTCGTGGCTTTATCCCTAATATTCGCACTGGAGCATGTCAAGGTAAGCCTTCTGGTTTAAATTGTGCACGCCTGTTGTGTTGCTGGTACGCATCTTGAAAACCTTGCAGACCACTTAACACAAAATCACTGTTTTCCTTGTCTATGTTCTGTGTCTTACTTTTAATAAAATTTGGATATGCTTTGCTGCTTCCAGATTTTAGCTAGGGTACATATAGAACAAAACTCAAGTGCCTGGAAAAAATGAATGCCAATCAAGGAGCTGTAAGTACAGAGCATGAAAATGTCAGAATGTCTGTTGAGCACAGCCGTCAGATACTGCAGTAGAGCACCAATCAGGCAACTGGCTTATGTTGCTGTAGCCCTTAACCAATATATACTTCATTCATTCTACTGAAAAATTCACTATTTCTTGCTACTGAGTTGTTTTCTTTCTGAAGTGGTTGGGAGTTATTATACAGACTTTTTTTTTTTTAATCCCATCATTTAGATAAAGCACATAATGAACCTTCTGGATGCCCTGTTTGGATTATTTGTATAGGGCTAGAAAAATGCATGAGTAAGGAAGGACTGCAGTCCTTCCTATGTTTAAATTCATAAAATATTTGAGACACGGGAAAGCATTCTTGCCTTACCCGGTATCTCTTTCCATGATATTAAGAGATTTGCTACTTCTCCTTTCTGTTGTTACTCCAGTCTACCTATCCTGAAAGACAGGTATCTGTTCTGCTGTAGCTGCTTGGCTAAATTTCAGAAAAAACTGCGTAAAGAATGCAATACCAGAGGATACTAGAACTCCCGAAGGAGAATGTAATACTTCTCTGTTACAGGCTGATACACTTAGTCAGTCTGCAGGCTGTGTTGTCTTAGAACCTTCTCAAGAAGCAACGGAAACCAAGTAGGTCCTGCGGTCAGACCCTACGCCGCTATCTATTGCTTGAAGAAATAAGGTTCAGAGTCCAAGGTACAACAGTCTGTTGTGTTGATGAGTGCTCACGCTTGACCTTGTTTGAGCAAGAGAGCATTTAGCGCCAGTCTATTTTGTAGTATCATCTTGGTGGTGGCTTGCAATTGTGTGTTGACCAACGTGATGGATGTTCTGGTGCTGTTGGCCAGATGTCTCAGATGGATGAGGATTTCTCCAATGACAGTTAGTCTTAATGTTGCTATCTGGAATAAACTAGTCAGCCCCCCATCCCATCATAGATTTCTGCCGTTGACCCACACTCATTTCTTTCCGAGTAAGTGTTTCTTGCTTTACCTGATAGTTATGCCCAGTTAAGTGGTGCAACATATGGGGCATCCATTTCCGAGGGCAAAATAGAATGGTATCTAGGGTGCAGGCAGCTGGCTGATAGGCATTTTCCCAGGTTTCATTTTTCCACCAATTAAAGTTAGGATAGGCATATTTGTCACTATACAGCCATACCATACCCAGGGGTGTCAGTACCACCATGGAAACAGTCTTTTCCCACATGAGTAAAGCTTGATGTATAGTATGAGACCAGAGGGCCCACTTCTCTTGTAGCAGGTCGATGAGTTTAAACTCTTGGACCTTAGAGTGGTTCCCTGCGTGGGCCCACTTAGTTAGATTTCATTTTCCTCCTAAGGGGATGTACCAGGAAACATCTTGTATTTGAAACTAAGGAATTTGAAATTAGCCTGGGAGTGACTGTTTTACTGCTTCTAAATTAAACCAATCAGTGTCCCACAGAGTACCATTGCATGTTTCGCATGGGACTGTCTATCACAATCTTGCATTGTATAGGAAACAGAGATGTTAGGCTTTGATGCATTAAAGGGGGTTAAATTAAATCCACTGCTTGGGGTGGTCCAATCCCAGTCCCAAGTATGGGTGGTGGTGTTGGTAGTCCAGCCGTCTACCCATTCCGGCCAGCTTTCACTGTCATTTAGGCTCAAGCACATGGGACCTGAAGCTAGAGGTATGCAACACACCTGGACACTTTCAGTGGCATTGAGGGGAACTGATGTTTTGGAAGTGTTTGCTATTAATTCTGATATGTCAATGCCTGAGCCATAAAGGTGTAAAGGCAAGCTCTCAGCTGACGTCAGAGTGTCAATACAGGCAGAAACAGTGGCAATACAGGCAGGACCATCATTAATACCCACATCTCATGCAAAATCCATTACCATTTGCAAGACTACATTACTTTTAAGCCCTTACTGAGTGGCAGCATCTGTCTGTGGGACTGCACTAATGGCTGTCAGGAAAAAGAGGCCAAGCCACTTCATATTGGCATGGTTCAGGCGCCTGTGAGCCTGCTCAAAATGCAACTGGTTGGCCACATGCTACCAGCAGCAATCCTACACCAAGGCCTTCCAGAACAGAGCTTGGTCTAGCCTGCCACCAGGTGTAGTGTCATTTGCTGCCTCCATCTTAAGAGATATGGTGCTGCATGCCGAACAACTGCATGAAAAATTAAAAAAACCTACATGAACCTGTAGTGACCCAGTCACTACAGGCAATCCTCTCCACTCCTTCTAGTAAGTCAACACCACCCAGTATTGCTGCCGTGCTGGCAACGGGGCCTCAGTGGAATACAAGGACTGTGTACCTACCATGCAAGTGAACCAAATTATGCTGTTCTGAGTCATGAATTGCTCCATGACGTTCCTGCAAAACAGAAAAGAAAACCATCTTGATGGGGAAAGGCCTGATGGTTACCACTGGATCCACTTGTGGGGAATTTTTAGGGTCTTGCCTGTCAGGAGTCTGAATGCTCCAGATATTATTAAGCATGCTCAAAAGGAGGCCTTGTTTAAGCCCCTCAGTGGAGTGGTTAAAAGATACTCCTTGGCTAATATGCAGATGTTGAGGCACTCCTGGGGGAGTCGACAGGTTCAGCAAGGGTAGTCCAGGTCCAAAAGCCTTGCCAATCAGTTGACCATGTGTGCTCCAGTGGACATTTATTTTGGCCAGGGCTGTCCACAAGCAGCTTCCCCCATCACACTTGTGGAGCTGCAGTGCTTGTTTTAGGTCAGGAACTGGGGCAGGGCAGGGGGGATCCCATGCTTACCCAAATAAATCTCTACCCTATTATCATCAGACCCATCATGCTGCACCACTTTGTGTCGTGGGCAGGCCCTCTGTCGCTGTCTACCAGTTGAAGGAATAAGGTTGTTAGTCTGAGGTACAAAGTGAGCGGTATTAAGATAAGGCATGTACTAAATGGATAACAATTACACCACCCTATGAGTGAGGACTATTCCGCCTTTATTCCAAAATTTCTTATAATCTACCTAATAGGTATCACTCAATTCACAGGAAAGTATGCTTACGTCCCAAGTGAGGGGACACCACCAAGGCCCTGGCCCACCCTTCCTGGGGAGTGGTCGGATAGGGCTCTCGGGGAGCGATTCATACCGCTTTCCTGGCGCTGCCTGTGCTCACCACCTACCGCTGCCACTGCACCGCTGCCCAGCCGGATCGGGCCCAGCAGAAGGGAGCGGCAGAGCCCGTCCAGAGCACGGCCCCTCCGTCTCAGTTGCCTCCCCACAGAGCGTTACAGATGTTAACAACACAGAGTAAAGTTGGTATTTGGGCTGAAAACAGATGCTGTAAATCAGCACCGTTCTATGAGTTCTGGTTATGATCTGTATAATGAAATAAATTAACAAAGAGAGTAAAATCCTTTTTGATCAATCAATCTCCAGCTAATTGGGATAGGCGGAGGTTCAAATGATTTTGAGTGGCAGGATTTTTTTAGTTTTGTTTGTTTTCTGATCTCACAAAGTGTCTGTATACTGTTCTGTGTCTGTGTATTCATATCTTATAGCTTCCAAAATCCGTGTGAGGCAGCGCAGCTGCAGTACCGCAGGCATTGCATGCATAAGCAGGTCTCAGTGACAGAGTTAAGAACCTTCTTAGCAAAGTGATAAAGTTGACTGGAGTGATCTGCTCTGAATTTTTATACAGGTGATTCCCTGTAGTGCTGGAGAACTTTCTACTTTAATTCTCTCTTTACAAAATAACAAAAAGCATACAGTAGCAGGATTTGTTTGTGTATGTGTTAGCAAGAATTTCTGTTAGGTAGTTCAGAAAAAGGTCTTTGGCTCTGTCTGCCATAACGTGTTGGTGTACAGGCTGGATGAGCAGGTGGTGAGGCGAATGGAAAGCTGGCTGAATGGCCGGGCCTCAACGGTAGTGGTCAGTGGTGGAAAGTCCAGCTGGAGGCCGGTGACTAGCACTGTACCTCAGGGACTGATACTGGGCCCAGATCTGTTTACATCTTCGTTAATGAGCTGGATGATGGGACAGAGTGTATACCCTCAACAAGTCTGCAGACAGCACCAAACTGGGAGGAGAGGCTGATACACTGGAGGGTCATGCTGCCATCCAGAAGGACCTCAACAGGCTGTAGAAATGAGCCAGCAGAAACCTCCTGAACTTCAGCAAAGAGAAGTGTAAAGTCCTGCACCTGGGGAAGGGCAACTTCAGCTGCCAGTATTGCTGCATGCTGATGATCTTGAAAGCAATGTTGCAAAAAAGGATCTGAGGGGCCTTGGTGAACACCAAGTTGAATATGACCCAGCAATGTGCCCCTGCAGCAAAGAAAGCTAATGTTATCCTGGGCTGTGAAAGAAAAATTATTGCCAGCAGGTCAAGGGTGGTGATCCTTCCCCTCTCCTTAGCACTGATGAGGCCACAGTTGGGAGTGCTGTGTTGAGTTCTGGGCTCCCCAGAACAAGAGAGAGATGAAGCTACTGGAGAGAGTCCAATGAAGGGCCACAAAGGTGATGAAGGGACTGGAGGATCTCTCCTCTGAGGAAAGGCTGCGTGAACTGGGTTTCTTCAGCCTGGAGAAGAGAAGGCTCAAGGAGGATCTCATCAGTATATAGAAATATTTGAAGGTAGGGTGCAAAGCGGACAGAGCTGGGCTGTTTCTAAGTCGGTCATGGCCAGTGATAGGACAAGAGGCAATGGGTGCAAACTGAAACACAGGTAAATCCTCCTCAACATCAAGAAACATTTTCTTACTGTGAGGGTGGCCGACCACTGGCACAGGTTGCCCAAAGAGGTTG